AATCCTGTTGACTTTCAAGTCATTCCAGATCCATGTATTAAGCCATTTTAGTATCGTTATGTTTTATACTGGCATACTACACTTTTTCATTATGTGAGATCTACCTTTCTACTTAACAATTCTACTTGTTTCAGAAATTCAGAAAAATCTAAAAATATTTTATAAACCATCAGGGTTCAAGATCTTTTATACTTGCTCCTCCAAGAGATGGAGTCTTAGACTTTTTTTCTTTCATCTTTCAGGCTTGCACGGAAACTGAAAAGCAGCGCCAAATAGCATGCGCTAAGACTAAGCTAGTCTTCCATAACATACCACGCAATGCACAAACACCTAAATTAGACCCCTCACCGATTCACACTTGAAAAAACTTTTGCAGTAGAGCTCAAGCTAAGGTGATTTTAACAGACTGTATAAAAACTCATGTTTTACAGACATAGCTTTGTACATTTACATGTACAATAAGGATACATCATTTAGAAGAACACTTCCAATTGTTGCAAGACAACACTTAAACAAAATACCCTGCTTAGAGCTTAATGTCTTGCTGTTTGTTAGTTCAAAAACAAATTAGAACTTTAAGGCAGCAACATCCACTCAACACAAGTTACATCACACGAGTTCTCTCAAGATGAATATCCATTACACTAATATACTGACAATATTACATTAGGTAAAGGTTGTTTCAGGATTTCTTATCACTTTTAAGAGATTAAAACTCATCTCAAACACAACACAAAGAAAAGTGACTTAATAATCCAATATTTCATCCTCTTTCCAGACATCTACATTTCTGTGTGGATTACCAGCCATTCCTAAGAATGCACAGTTCTGTATCTTCCAGTGACTGAGATGCTGTAATTGTCAAGTGTTTCTCGGGGTCACTTCCGTTTCTCTGTATTACGCTGACTTCCAACACACGGTATCTGTTGTTCAACCCATTCTTAAGTATTGTGTCAGGGGAGTCAGTCACTTTCTTCTGAAAACTGAAGTAACAATTCATCACAAAGACATAACACTATTTGAAAAGAAAACAGCCAACCCATATACAAGAAGAGGGAAAGCCTCACGTATAAACCCAACTTTAACCCTTGTCAATTTTTATATACGTTTAGTGTGGGTTTTTTAGTTCTATACAGGTAGAGTGTAGGAAATCTTCTCTCTGGTAATGTTTCCACATTGTCTTTTTGGATGATAGGGATGAAAAACAAGCATTTGGACATAAAAGACATAAGGAAGGAGATATAAACATTAAGTAAGTTGCTATTTATTGCAGCTAGTGTTTTCTTTTGGTATCCATGTATTCGTATCCATTTAGAAGTTAATTATAACTGTACTGCAACACTGTGCTTGTGAGAAAGCTTCTATCTCTTTGAATACTGTAAAGCACATAAGAATTCCCACAATCACCCAAGTACATCAAACACAGATAACTAGCTTCCCCCGCCCCCCCTTAACCTCAACATAAAGATAATTAGAAAACTGATATTCAACGTTCAGTTTTAATTTGGCCCACGGCCAAAATTTCAGACAGAGCCCTCAGGCCAGCTACTCTCCTGACACCGAAGGATACCTGCTAGAGTTGCAGGGCGCAGGCAAGGACAGAGCTCACCCCAGGCGCCCGCACCCCGCCCACCGCAAATACCAGTTCGGGGCTAAGCAGCGGCGGGCTCCTCTCACCGCCTATTCCAGGCGGTCCCGAGCGCTCCCGACCTCTCCCCCATCCCCGAGGAAGGCCTGTGCCGCCCCGTCCCCGCTCCGACGGCCCTCAGGACTCCTCTCCGCCTTCCCGCGCCCGGAGCCGGAGGGACCGAGAGAGGCAGAGAGGGGCGCGAGGCGGGGGAAGTTTTTAACTTTCTTTAAATTTCAAACACCCCGCGCTCGCGGCCGTCTCCGCCCACTTATTCTTCCTCCCCACGTCGGCCGCTACCTCTCCGCCATCAGCCGGTCCTCTGCCGCGCCA